AATTAGAATCATGAAGCAAGAGAATCAAAGGGAACTTTAGCCATCAGTGATGTATTAAATTTTTTAAGAAGAATGTATTTCCTCAATAATGAAAAAGTGTTGGGAAAAGGAATAAATAGGTAAGAAAGTACTTTTAGAATAGAACAATTCTCATCTGAAACACACTCTCCCACGGTAAGATTTATTTTTAATATACATTGAAAACTGATTTATTATGTTTCCCTCATTTATCTATCAAATTAAGAACACATCTGTAAGATAAGCAAAGACATTTTCCTTATGTATTCTTCATATTATTTTAGAGAAATACTTGGCATAGTGGTAGCTATTTCTTTATTCTCATTATAGAAAATAAAAACATTTAATATTAATCTCTTTATGAGACACCCGAGTACAAAACTTTCATTAATTGTGAGCTTATCTACAGTACCTTGAAAGAAGGCCATGAACTTCTGTTTACACTCAAACCTAATGACAATTTTCCTAGAGTCACAGAGCTTGTCTTAATCCTAGTAGCAAACTGGTTAACTTTTCTGCTTAAACACACAATGGAACTATGACTTTTTATGAAACTTCCAAGATGTTTCAGCCTTTTCTTTCTGTTTTAACGTCTCCCCGAAATACTGATTACTTCAATAACTTTTGATTACAGTACAGTAAGCTACAAATTGGAATCCTGCCAGGATGAGAAAACAAAGAGCATTTTCCCCCTCTTCCTCTCCCTGCTTAGGAATCACCTTTCATGAGAACCTGACCTTTATTCCCGCCACCATGCTCTGATGTAGTCAAAGAAAAGTATGAAGGACAAAAATCTCTTAAAATGTAATAAACGAACTCTCTCTGCAGACAGCATTGACTTAATAACAATGGCTGTATTTTAGCATTTTGTAATCAAGTGACATTCTTGTTAAAGCATATCCCTCCTCACTCCAGCTTTTTTTGCATTTATATTTGTTTAAACAGTATTATTAAGGTATATTTTACATATCATAAAGCCCACCTATTTCTACAATTCAGTGACTTTTAGTAACTTTACCAAGTGATATTACCATTTAAGACAAGGACAAATAATAAATTGTTAAGAAGAAGATTTGGAGAAAGATTTTGTGGGCTCTGTGTATTTTCCACACAGGCACATTTATTCTTTAATTTAAAATATATGAACTAGCCAATAACTTGTTCTGGCAAGTAACTGCAAATGAAAATAGCTTCATATTTCATTTTGGAAATAAAAATATGATTACATTGTATTACACATTTAACATGATTTGGTTACTTCAAAGATATATAAAGGATTTAAAATTTATTTTTAATTATCTCCAATTATCTTTTGATAATTTGTCTCACAAGGAGGTAAATCAAATGAAAAAGTAAACATCTCTTCACAGATACAGTAGATCTATGGATAGAGACAGGAAGTTGAAAAAGTTTCCGTGTGATAGAGGTGGCCAGGTTAAACACGGATAATGTTGTTGTATCTAGACCTTGAAGGTTGTCTGGCTCTACTTTTAGAAACTAGAAAGTTGGGCTGGACATGGTGGTTCATGCCTGTAATCCCAGCACTTTGAGAGGCCAAGGTGGGTGGATTGGTGAATCGCTTGAGCTCAGGAAGTCAAGGCTGCAGTGAGCTGAGTCTGCACCATTGTACTCTAGCCTGGGCAATAGAGTGAAAGCCTGTCTTAAAAAACAAACTAGAAAAAATATAAGAAATTTATAAATATAGGTATGGATTTGTTTTAACTGGGGATAACATATGACAACCAGAAGAACAAATAGTTGCTACAGCAATGGCTAGCTGTGCCTTCTCTCCATAATCTCACTTCTTGATTTGTATCACAGAAATACTGATTCATTCTTCAAAAGGAGGCTCTTGTTAACTCTGGAAGCAGGAAACTATTTTCATTTTCTGATTGGAAGAATAAAAATTACATAAACAACAAACATCTGAATTTTTCTTTTCACTATTTTACTTAAGGCATTTTTGACATAATTCTTTACAGGGTAATTTGGCAAAATGACATTGACAGTAGCTCTTGTCACCTAGCCACTTGACTATGATTTTTAAACTAGAGAAGAAAACTGTAAAGAGGACTACTATATCTGTGCCTCTTATTCTTTTCCAATTGTTCCTTAATGGCCAAGGCTAATTCTTCTATTGCTTATGACCTTCTCTCTCTGCCGTGCAGAAGGTGCACCGCCCACCACTGTTTGTTCACAGAAGCTATAATGTGAAAAGTGTCCTTATGGTTGTACAGCACCCAAGCTGCCTTACAGAAGATACGGCCACCTGGTCTCTGGATTCTCTCCTGGAGGTCCTTGTTCTATTACCTCCTGGCTTGCAACATCAGCTTCTCCTCTCCACTGGCTCTGCCCCTTAAGCATCTAAACCTGCCAACATTTGACTCATTAAAATATTTTAAAAACCCAGAAGAAACACAAGAAACATTGAAAAACTCCAACCCTTTCTGGACCAAGCCCCCCTATAAGCAGTAGTCTATTTTCTCCCACACCTTCAAGGGACAAAGACTTGTCCACACCTGCCTGTTCTCAGTAACTGACAATGACTTCACGAAGGCTCTTACTTGCACTGAATTGCTCCAAAGGCCTGCTTGTTGGTCTCCCAGCACCTCTTACTATTTCCATTCATCTTTCCTTGTTCCTTACCTTTCCATGGTTGTCATAGGATCTTTGATAAGATACAAATCTATTTATATCATTTTTCTACTTATATTCCTAGAATTACTCCCTATCATTTTCAAGAGAAAATCCAAACACGGGATATGGTTTTTCACGACCTGATCTATTTAGCTTAGTCTCTTAATTCACCTTTACCTTCCCCTACATTCTACACTGTAAACTGCAGATGTCCTGAATCCACTGCCACACTTGCAGCTCTCCCAAATTGTCCTCACTGCCCTGAATGTCCTCACACTTGTTGCTTTTTCTTCCAGGGGCACCCTTGTCTCTATTTCCCTGCCTGATAAACTCTTAACTGTTTTGTATTGTATTTGAATTGTATTTTATGTTTCTATGTATTGTGAATTGTATTTTATGTTTCTCAAGAAAAGCACCTGAATCTTATTTATGATTTCAGTGTCTAGTACATAATAGGCACGTAGCAAATGTGTTTTTAAGGCAAATTATTGAATTTTTATTCATTCATCTTCTATCTCCCCAAGTGGGAGATTTACATTTTTCCAGTAAATGCCACATAACTAGATTTCAATAAAGATTAATATCTGTTGAAGGAACCAACACTGCAATTGCCTCCAAACTCTACCTCTTCCAATCTGTCCTGCACACTGATGGAAGGTTACTTTTCCTAATATACTAACTCCCCATGGTATCTGTCACCTCCCCTAACCAGCTCAAACTTTCATTGGCTTCGTATTACCTCTAGGATAAAATCGAGGTTCTCTCATTTCGTTTCTTTTGCATTTGCTATAATCTCTGCCTGGAATGCTCTTTCCTTGATTTTTACAGACTTTTTCCCCCTCCTTTTGTCTCAGAACAAACTTTCTCTGACTACTCAAACTAAAATGATCTTTGTGTCAGTCTATTAAACTGTTATAATTTCTTAATACCTTCCATTTATTAGAGCTGAAGTCATCTCCCTCACAGTCTTTTTTTCTATCATGTCTCTCTGTTGCTCTCCTCATTAGAATCTACGGTTCCTTAACACAGGGGCCTGGTTGGTTTTGTTCATTGCTCTGCACCTCCAGTCTTAAAGCAGTTCCTAGAACCAGAGGTTAACCACTCAAACATTTGTTCAACGAATGAAAGAATGAAAAAATACTTGAACCAGGCATTCAAGGTCCCCTATGACCTGGCCTCACTCCGCCTTTCCAGCCTTATCTCCAACTACTTCCAGTTACAATTTCCAAAATACCTGTTATACCTCCTAAATAAGCATATCTACAATACTCTTGTCTTCTTTCTCTTCCTATCTAAATTATCTTCACCATCTTCATCATCTAAATTATCTTCATCAGATCCAGCTCAAATGCTATGTCTTCTATAAGGCAATACAAAGTGGCAAGCTCCTTAACTACATTATATCTCTGTTTAATAACTTCTTTCAACTTCCTGGAGTATTTTTATTTTAAAAATAGGTTATAAGTTATAATGGAAGATATTATTAAAATGAAAATTATATAATTTCTGGAATTATGGTAATTCTAGTAGTAAATAAAATTCAAGCTACTAGTAAATAAAATTCAAGCCCAAATTTACCTATTTTAAGAAAATTGTGGCCTGGCGCAGCGACTCATGCCTGTAATCCCAGCACTTTGGGAGGCCGAGGAAGGGGGATCATTTGAGGTCAAGAGTTCGAGACCAGCCTGACCAACAAGGTGAAACCCCATCTCTACTAAAAATACAAAAAAAAAAAAATTACCTGGGCGTGGTGACACATACCTGTAGTCCTAGCTACTCTGGAGACTGAGGCAGGAGAATAGCTTGAATCTGGGAGGCAGAGGTTGCAGTGAGCCGAGATTGCACCACTGCACTCCAGCCTGGGCAACAGAGTGAGACTCTGTCTCAAAAAACATTGCAGGTTTTTTTCTTCAAGTATACCAGAGAAGTCTGCTTTCAGTTATAATGTGCAACATGCTGGTTAAAAAGCAACATTCAAAATTAGTCTGTGAGAGTTGGTTCCAGTGACAACTTTGATTTCCATTTTAAATTGCAGATAATATTTTCCACTGAATATACTATGAGAAAGCATCCAAAGATAACAATTCAACTTTAACTCTGAGCCTAACATAACTTCTGTTGATTAAATCACTTGTTTCAATCTGGAAAACAAAACAACTAGAATGCTTCTGTGATAAGAACTGTTAGAAAATTCTCAAAACATAGAGTGAATTTTAAATATCTTCACTGATCTATATCCTATAAACTCCAGTGGTAGATCAATGCAGAAATACCTACATATGTGGGCCTAAACATAAGAGCGGATAATGCAATATGGATTGTGTAGATAAAGAAAACGTGCCAACCTGGGTACCAACTTGGCACTACTAGCATCCTCTGCTGAATTCATGTCTTCCAAGCAGGATTTTCTACGGCTTAGCCACAAGCTGAGCTGAGGAATGCCATCAGATAGCTCTGGTTGCAGTACTCTGTGTGTCTGAATAGATCCCTCACTCCTGGACTTTGGGATCTAAAAGGAAAAAAAAAAAAGAGGGATGGTAGAGAGCTAGATAAATGTTAAAGTCTTTCAAATTAAGTTTTTGGAAAAAGACAATTTATTCTAATTTTGCAATAATCCAATTTATAACACCCCAGAAAAACATCAAGCTAAAAATGAAATTTAAACTACATATAAAAATGATATAGCAAAGGGCACAGGGAAGGGGAGATACAAATATTTCCAAGGAGAACATTCAAATCTTATATACCCCATACCCTACCGAGAAGATTTCTATTCTGACAGAAATCTTCCCCAGGCCCACCCCTCCTTAGAATAATCATTCTATGTAATGAGAAGTGATATGGGAGTATGTCAGACTGGCAACTTGGATTGAAGGAAATAAAAAATAGTTGGAAAGAGGTGGGGAAAAAAAGAGCTAAGAACCACTGGAATAAAGGATGCCAGTGTCTGAAAGGTATTCAGAAATATTTACTACCAAAAAGCAACACACGAATTTGCTGATGGTTTCTATTGTAGCCCTCTTTTGTAGGGCAAAGTAAGATCTAACAAACTTTTGATTAAGGTAATAAATAGGAAAAACACAAGCTTTTTAGTTTTCTTTTATCTCGGAATGCATGGGCAACACATGTCTCAAATGAATCCTGGGGGTACTGACTTCTCAGACTGTATCTGAAGTTATGTTCCCTCTAGCCCCCCAAATACCCTCACGTTCTCTTATTTTAGATCAGAATGAGTATCAATACAATCAATATTGTTTTCCTTTAAAATGTAAAAAGCATTATGCCAGAATTGTAGGAAAAATTAGAAACCTCGGATCAATTGTATTTGGTACACTGGAAGCTTTTTCTTGTGTCTAGGAATTTTCCCATGCTTGTCCTTACATCTGGAATGTCATGTGCTCACCATCGGCGACTCAACTGCCTCAAACCAAACGAATCCTAACTTCCTTTGAGGCTGAGATAACTCCAGTGGAGTTTCTCTAACAAGCTTCAGGTCTTTTTTTTTTTTTTTGAGACATAGCCTCGCTCTGTCACCCAGGCTGGAGTAGTGCAGTGGTGTGATCTTGATTCACTGCAACCTCCACCTCCCGGGTTCAAGCGATTCTCCTTCCTCAGCCTCCTGAGTAGGTGGGATTACAGGCGTGCACCACCAAGCCAGTGTAATTTTTGTATTTTTTGTAGGGATGTGGTTTCACCATGTTGGCCTGGCTGGTCTCAAACTTCTGACCTCAAGTCATCTGCCCACCTTGGCCTCCCAAAGTGCTGGGATTACAGGCTTGAGCCACAGTGCCTGGACTTAACTTCAGGTCTTAATGACCGAAATTTCCCAACTCTGAATTTCCATAACACACTACCACGTAGTCTACCCTTGATTACACATTGCCTGATACTTTAATCTGAGTTTTTTCATGTTTCTAGGTCATATGGTCTCAATGGGTTCTTTGCAGATTGAGATTATAGTCTCCTCCTATTTTTTATCTTTCTCTCTCCTTCCTTTTATTCTTCTTGTTAACATTTTTACCATAAAGTCTAGCAAAGTTTTGGATCTATTAATAAATACTTATATTGTGAGACAATCCACTAGTCAACCACAAGGTATTCTTAAGACATTGACTATCCTGGGGGATAGTCAGTAAAACAGATAGGTTTTAAAATAATATGGGAATAATTATGAACATAAATATTGAATAAATTCATGCCTCTATGAAGATTATATAAAACAATATATGAAGAAATATGTACAATTATGACTTGTCAATTAAAAATAACATTAATTTACAAAACCAAACAACGCACACAAACAAAATATATGAGCATAATTTGGTAAAGAGATATATTTAGGATAGAGCAAAGTGAACACTCAATAAAAGCTAGTTTTTATTATTATTGTTGTTACATAAAATTTGCCCAAATCTGGTGACTGCTAATTAATTTTTCATGACATTTCTTTGTAGAGCATTTTTAAGTTCATAAAATCATGAAAGCAAGGAAAAATTTTTAAAAAATTATAAACTTACAAAAACACTTCTGTAGTCCATATTTGCCAAGATTGACTTTTTTATTGACAAAAATTATATATATTCATCCTATACAACATGTTGTTCTGAAATATGTATACACTGTGGAACAGCTAAACAGATAATTAACATACGCATTACCTCACATACATTTTTTGTGGTGAGAAAACTTAAAATCTACTCTCTTAGCAATTTTCAAGAATACCAAGAATACTTTTTTTTAAAAAAAACATTAATAGCAAGAACATGGAAGTAAAAATATATGCTATTATATATTTCATTCAGGAGTTCCTTTTGATGTGATTATTTTTCAAAAGAGTAGACATGAAAAATCAATACAAACACTGAAAATGCAGTAAGATTTCAAACTAATTAGCCAAAAAAATCTCACATTTAGACTTAATTCCCTGCCCATATTAAAGCAAGCACAAGGACAGTTGTTTCACAACATTTCATGGTGTTAAAATAAGGAGACTGTGATGGTTAACAATGAGTGTCAACTTGATTGAAGGATGCTAAGTATTGTTCCTAGGTGTGCCTGTGAGGGTGTTACCAAAAGAGATTAGCATTTGAGTCAGTGGACTGGGAGGAGCAGACCCACCCTCAGTCTGGGTGGGCACCATCTAGTCAGCTGCCAGCTCAGCTAGGATAAAAGCAGGCAGAGGAACGTGGAAGGACTAGACTGGCTGAGTCTTCTAGCCTCCATCTTTCTCCTGTGCTGGATGCTTCCTGCCCTTGAACATCAGACTCCGGGTTCTTTGGCTTTTGGACTCTTGGACTTACACCAGTAGTTTGTCAGGGGCTTTCAGACCTTCAGCCACAGACTGAAGGCTGCACTGTCGGCTTCCCTACTTTTGAGGTTTTGGGACTCAGACTGGCTTCCTGGCTCCTTAGCTTGCAGACAGCCTATTGTGGGACTTCACCTTGTGATCATGTGAGTTAATTCTCCTAATAAACTCCATGCTTTCATGAAACATATTCTAATCGAGGGGAAGACAGACAAGAAGTGGGCCCAGGAGGCCATTTAGACCCACCTTATCTCAGCAAGAGTTGCTACTGGCTCCATGAGGCTCAGGCAAGCCCTGCTGGTCAGGGACTCCAAATCGAGCCAACAGCCTTACTGTAATAAATGGAGTGAATGTGCTGGAGAGACGTACCTGCAGCCTCTCTCATAACATGTGGCTGAAGCAGGAAAATGGCCAAGGGTTGGGGATACAGACTGGGGAGACCAGCTTTCTCTTTCCACTGCAGTTATAACTGACATCCACTAGTTCACACCACATTTTGCTTCTTTCTTTTAGTCATTTCTTCATTTATTTGATCATTTAGTAACTTTTGTATGTGAAGGTAAAAACTGTAAAACCCCCCAAACCCCAAACCACCTATGATGAACACTTTGCTCATAAGAATTCTGCCACTGGCTATTTGAGATAAAGATCTCGGTATATGCTGTGTGATTTATGTGTACAACTAAAATACAAACAATTCCAGGAATTTCAAAAAGAGTACATTCCATGCATGTATCTGCAGGTGTGCAGTAGCTCTAATTGTGGCATTTTTAAGGTACTTTAGTATTTAACATGCCATGGGAATAAAAACAAAGGAATGTTCTTTGAGACAGTAAAATTAGAAAACATTCTCTTAAATCCTGGTGCTGCTGCTGTTATAATTAATATTTACTGAGCACTTATTCTATGCCAGGCATGGTTCCAAGAGATTTACATAAACCAACCCATTTAATTCTTACAACCACCCAAGGAGTCAAGAGCTGTTATTATTATCATTTGAAAGATGAGGAAACTGAGGCACAAAAAAATTTCATTTATTCCAGTGAGTAAGTGGCAGAGTTACCATCAGAACCCAGATAGGCCTTAGTACCTGTGCTTAACCACTAGTCTATATACTTGGTTATATGTTAAATGTTGGAATTGCAAGAATAAATGGCATTTTAAATGAAAGTCATATTACCTACCATAATGCAACCATTTTCTTTTTGGGTATTAGAAGTTAAAATTTTCTGGCTGGGCGCGGTGGCTCAAGCCTGTAATCCCAGCACTTTGGGAGGCCGAGACGGGCGGATCACGAGGTCGGGAGATCGAGACCATCCTGGCTAACACGGTGAAACCCCGTCTCTACTACAAAAATACAAAAAACTAGCCGGGCGCGGTGGCGGGCGCCTGTAGTCCCAGCTACTCGGGAGGCTGAGGCAGGAGAATGGCGTGAACCCGGGAGGCGGAGCTTGCAGTGAGCTGAGATCCGGCCACTGCACTCCAGCCTGGGCGGCAGAGCAAGACTCCGTCTCAAAAAAAAAAAAAAAAAAAAAAAAAAAAAAAGAAGTTAAAATTTTCTTTTCTTTCAATTTATTTCTCTGGCACCTGTTGAAGCATTCTAGAAACATAGCCTTACGAAAAAAAAATTGAATTTGAGGACAAAACTAGATGGAAGATATGTTCATCATATTTTATTTACAATAGAATGAAAATGTAAGCATTCTAAATAACCAAATTACTATCATATGTAAATTATGGCATATCCACATAATAAAGGATTACTCAGCCATTAAAATACTTACAAAGTTTCAAATAAGATAGTAAAGTACTTTTTATGGGATATAGTATAAGCTAGTTTAGCAAATAAAAATGGAAAGGGGGGGTAGATATATACCTCCAATAAAACTAGGGTCATCATACTTAAAATACACAATAATTTGTTTTGAAAGTCAAAAAACAAATTGTCACAGTCAACACTAAAAATATTTTAAGATGGTCTAATCTTTAAAAATTGTATAAAGAACCCATCATCAAAAAAAATTATGTGATACCAGGCACTAAATTACCCTGATAAATTAATGTGACTGAAAATAAAAAAGACATTAAAATATCATACCTCAATCTTAATTTTGATACAATGCCCTCATATAACTGTGATGATACAACAGTAAGCTGTGAACATAGGCTCTCTGTTCTGTGGGAGAGTGTACAGTACGAATTAT